TCGCCGATACCTCCACCACTCGCTCTAACTCAGTTAACCCACCCCACCTTGACTCAGTACGACCATGGGTTTCCATTTCTATGCTTAAAAGCTCCTTCCTTTCTTCTTCTTCTTATTCTCAAATATCTCATCTTTTAAAGTGAGCTTTTTGTTGTTATTCTGAGAGTTAAAAAGAGAGAGACATGTATGTGGTTCCGCCACCCCAGCGACCGGATCCGGGTTCCACCGGCGGCGGGTCGGGTGATTTACGGGTTTACCAATCTTGGAAAGGCAGCAATGTAAGCTTTTTCTTGTTTTTTTTTTCTCCCCCTTTTTTTAGCCTTAAAAATCCCTCATTTTCCTCTTTCTATCGTGTTCATGTACTGATTTTCATTACAAGTAATGGTTTAAAAGACATTGAATTATGATTTCTTTTTCACTGTTTGCAGAAATTTTTATTTCGAGGGAGGTTTATATTTGGACCTGATGTAAGATCATTAGGGCTGACTATTTTGCTTATAGTAGCTCCAGTCTCCATTTTCTGTGTATTTGTTGCCAGCAAATTGATGGATGATTATTCTCATCACTGGGGTGTTTCAATCATGGCTGTTGCTGTTGTCTTCACTGTTTATGTAAGTCTCTCCACAAATTTCCATGTTTTTGAATGAGTTGTTACATCACTTACATTTGGAAAACTTCTTATTACATGTTAGGAAGATTATGATACTATGGTGAGTCCTACTGAGTTGAGATTTCTAGGAGGGATGAACTGTGAATTTTCTTTCACTTGACCCTTTTTTCCCATTAAGTGTTAGTTCATGATGTTTACCATTGTTAAGATTGGTGATTGCGGACATAATGGATGCTATTGCGGTCACTGCAGTTATCACGGTCGTGCAACAACGGGTCTAAGTACCATTACTTCTATAGAGCGGCCGCTATTCTGGTAGCGGACTGCTATTTAAGTCCCTGGTTACATTTGAAAATCTTCTTATTACATGTTAGGAAGATTTTATGGTACTATGGTGAATTTTCTTTCATTTGACCCTTTTTCCCCATTAAGTGTTCATGATGTTCACCATTGTTAAGATTGGTGATAGACTCTCATTTGTTGTCGGTTAAGGTATATCCGTATATAGACTCGAAGTTGTGATTTTCTATGATCGTAGCTTATAAGATCTCTCTTCCTTCGTTTCCCTGTTCTCATGGCGGTTTAATATATCATTAAATAGTGGGATTGCAGTATCGATCGGGATTACATTTATGAATGTTAAAAGAATGTGATGGAATTCTAGCATATAAAGTAAAATAAGATTGTGTCATTTCAATTCTATAATGTTTTGGAGAATCTGTGTTATTTTGTTAGGCATTTATTGGGGTTTTGGAAAATCTATGTGATTTCACTAAGACGGATCTTGAAGCTCGTAAATGGTTTTGTTTCTTCTTTCAGGATTTAGTTCTTCTTTTGCTAACATCCGGAAGAGATCCCGGTATCATTCCGCGCAATGCACACCCTCCGGAGCCAGAAAGTTTTGATGGAAATGCAGATGTTGGGGCTGGTCAAACTCCACAGTTACGACTGCCACGCATTAAAGAAGTGGAGGTCAACGGAATCACCGTGAAGATCAAATATTGTGACACTTGCATGCTTTACAGGCCTCCTCGCTGCTCACACTGTTCAATCTGCAATAACTGTGTAGAACGCTTCGATCACCACTGTCCTTGGGTTGGCCAATGTATTGGACTGGTATGTCACCGTTTTCTTTAGGCTGCAAGGATATGAATCCTAAACCATGGTTTGTGGCTGTAAGATTTTCATATGACAAATGGTTGAAAATCAAAATTACTGTAAAATGTGATGTTTTTCTGCTTTTGGTTTTTTTGTACCGTTAGCTCATCTAACGTTTTTTATTGTTTGCAGCGAAATTATCGGTTCTTCTTCATGTTTGTCTTCTCATCAACCCTTCTGTGTATATATGTTTTTGCATTCTGCTGGGTCTACGTTCGAAGGATCATGGAATCAGAAGAGACAACGATTTGGAGAGCGATGATTAAAACCCCAGCTTCCATTGTTTTAATAGTTTACACTTTCATCGCAATGTGGTTCGTTGGTGGTTTGAGTGCCTTCCATTTGTATCTGATCAGTACAAATCAGGCAAGATGCTTTTCCTTGGCTCGTCGTAATAATGTTGCAGAGGCCGTTAATTTGTTAGATAAATGTAACACTGTGTGTTTCTTGCTTCTGCAGACAACATATGAGAATTTCAGGTATCGATACGATCTTAGAGCAAACCCGTACAACAAAGGAGTGGTTGATAACTTCAAGGAGATATTTTGCTCCAGCATTCCATTATCCAAGAACAATTTCAGGGCAAAGGTGCCCAGGGAACCTGCGTTACCAACACAACCGGGTGGTTTTATGAGTCCGAATATGGGGAAGGCTGTGGACGACATAGAAATGGGTAGGAAGACGGTGTGGGGCGATATCGGTGCTGGCACCGATCATTGTGAAGGGCAACTCGCAAGTGACCGAGTAAACGTCAAGGAGGGTGAACTAGGAGAATTATCTCCGGATATCAGAACTACAGTAGACGACACAGGCGAGCGTGGTGGTATACATCCCAGGCGATCTAGTTGGGGTAGAAAAAGCGGTCGATGGGAAATGTCACCCGAGGTTCTTGCTCTGGCAGCTGATGTACTGCTAAGGTTCTTTTTCTTGTTTCAGTCGTGTATTTATGGGGCATTTGTTTCTGGGTTTGGCAGGGTGTTTAAAAAGTGTTGGTCTGTCCCTTCGTGCTTTGAGGAAAAAGTGTTGTGTTGTACCTTGTACTAGTGAGGGTTTTTTTTTTTCCTTTCAATTTTGACTCTCTTTTTGTATTTGTTGTGGAATTAGTTAGTATCTACTAATTGTAGTGAGTTTGTGGTTTGATTTTTTTTGTATTTGTTGTGATTCTCCGATTACATGATACTGTTTTATTAAATTCCTCAGCTGTTAAAAGTTACAAAATGATCCTTCGATTATAGAGTGTTGTTTTGTTGAGTCCCTCAACTATTAAAAGTTATAAAATGATCACCAAATCAAAATCGTCTTCCTGCAACGAATGAGAACAATTATGATGCATGTTGGGATGGGTTGTGAAACCACATTTCAAGAAATTTAAAGATTCTGGAAACAACTGATCCTTTCCACCAACGAAAAAATAGAAAATAGCAGCCATCATCACAATATGGTCCATAAACTAGGCGAGAATATTAACAAAAAAATATCAATGGATAGAGCTGATGACTAAGGACCTGCAAAGCAACAGTGCTTGAGCTTTTACAGCATGGAGGTGTGAATTGGCAGTCGCAGAAGCAGATTTAAGCATTTGCAGCTTCCAGACAAGTGTTTCCCCAGGTAATATGTCAGCCATAAACTAGGAGAATTGTATCGTGTGAGAGTCATAAACTACACGAGGCTATCATCGTTTTACAAATGACCTCAAAGTGTATTCAAAGTATCATCTCCGTATATGTTTTTGCAACAAAAATGATTTAGCTGTAGATTACAACAAGAAATGTCGACTGAAATAGCATTAATGTTTAATGAAAGAATCTTACGTAGAGGTAAGATGAGATTGCGACGAGGTCCCGTGTTAGCTCTCCAACAGTTTGGTTTGGCGCAAGTCCCTTCACCATATTTTCCAAGACCATTCTCAGAGGATCACCTAAATAGATAGCATTGCTCATATCTCACCAACATTCATAATTATCTCTGATCGGCAATAACAAGAATAAATCTACGAAACATGATGCTATAATACCATTGTTTTACATGCTGCTTTTAAGGCTATTAGACTAAATAAAACAAGTTGTACACTTCAACCTCAAGTAAGTAGGAAGGCCAACAAAACGAAATTTAAGAACGAACTCCAAACCTGATGCCAAGTTCATGTAAGGGAGTTACGGCCAGAGTTGACTGGGCATGAATTGCAGCAAAGGTATTAGAGATTGTAATTGAGACCTGCTAAATGATGTAGCTGCAAACAGAACCGAAATACAATGATCGTCACTCTTTAGCCAGTTTTCTTGGGAGAAAATTCATGATAAAAAAGATAAAGTTTCTTGGGATAACCTTATTTGGTTTCCTCTGCATATTTCGAAAATGTCTGTCGTTTCTTGGATGATTCTCTTGAATCGGATGCCTACTAAGGATAGGCTTATTCGGATGGGAATAGACTTAAATGGGTTATGTGGTTTGTGTGGGGCAGAGTTGGAGAGCAGGGATCATCTTTTTGGTGACTGATCTTTTGCTTGCCAAGTTTGGTGTCGTGTTCTGCAGGCTTGTAAACTCCCTGTTAGTTCGATGTGTTGGGAGGATGCTTTGGCTTGGGCGGTTCAGCATTTGAAAGGTAAATCCCTTCTTGTTTATATCTTGAAGTTGGCTTGGACTGGTTTTTTGTATTTTATTTGGGATGAGAGAAATCATAGGGCTTTTAAGGGTGTCTCTCGATCTGTTGATGAGATTTTTGACCGCATCCGACCAAGTCGAGTTAAAATATTTGAGTTATTCAAGTTGATGAGTTCTATTTTATAAGTTAAAATTGACTTGAATTTTTTTGTAAAATTTATAAAATACGAGTCAAGTTGAATTTTTGAGTGTTTAAATTTAATTAGAAATATTTAAATATTATAATATTATTTGATTCTAATTTAAATGATTTTTATAACATATACAATACATGTATACTTCTTTATATTTTTTATATGTGATATATATATCATACAGAGTCGAGGAACTCGACTCAAACTTAAAAATCAATTCGTTAATTATTATTGATTTCGAGTTATTCAAATTTTATTTTACAACTCAAATTGAACTTGAAATTTTTTCGAGTTAAGTCAAATTTAAGTCGAGTTTTTCGAGTCGAAAAAATTAAATTATATATTATTATTATAGAATTTATCAGAAAAATAGAAGAAAGAAATACAATGGAGATTCATGAAAGCTGCACAAAAGAATAATACAATTGGCATTTGCCTCGCATAAGCATCTGTAAATGTTCAGTTTCAAAAGAATACAGAGCAAAATTATGCATACCACTTCCAGCTTCGAAGTAAATACTAGGAGCAGCATGAATGATGAGTCTCTTGAAACATGCATTGCCTTAGACGTAGCATCATCGGATCGGAGGAAAGACGACCTCTCGAGCACGAAAGCGTGCGTAAGCACGAGGAAGTCGGCTTGCTTACTGTTGCAACCATATTTGACCTTCATAAGGAGAGTTAACCAAAAGCTACACTAATTACAATGAAAACTGGGAAATTTCTCGATTTTCTTGCCTCAAAAAAGCAATGCGATCCTCATCGGATCCTACCGCCTCCGATGCTATATTCCTACGTATTCATGTGGTTTATACAAGGGACCAAAATGTCAGTGGAGCATAGAGATTATGTGCTTCATTTCGAAAAAGTTCCGAGTGCTTCAGTGCAACTATGCAATCTTTGATCTTCACGGTAAATGAAGCAACCAGCAGCAAGTGAAATATACCACGCTCTATAAGCATATCTAATATTTAATGAGAGCAGGAAGTGAAGAATGAAGCTCTGCCAAGGACTGAAAGATCCAATTTAGCAGTTGCTCTCGTGGCAGCTCGAGAAGTAGTTCTGCCTGCAAGATGAACATCAGAAAGAGGAATTCAGATGCCAATTCTAGTGTGGTCTTGCTAGTCGGTAATCCATGATGTTGTTAAAACATGCAAGGATACCGGCTATTATCACCTCTCTTACCGAGTATACGACTGAACCTTCGTGCTTCTATTTACAGACACAGAAACCATAAGAAATGAAAAATAATAATTACCTTTATTTGGTCTCCCTCGAAAATCAAAGAATTCCGGTGCATATCGGATACCATGGATTCTGTCATCAGCTTGAAAACTCTCTTACTCATATTGGTTTTCATGCCAACCATCTTTCCCGAAGCATAGATTCTGCTTATCCCGAGATCTGCTGCCATTCGCCTCACGTAAAGCTTCTTCAAAAGAATTTCCATGGAATAAGGCTCTTTTCCAAATTGACGGCGAAGATTCTCTGTAAATTGCATCAAACTCCAGATATCTTTCTCAGCTGCTTTCTCAGCTTCATTAATGATTTCCATGGGGTTCTCCAAATAATTTATGTACTCGGAGGGGAGACGAGGGTTTATATTAATATCAATCTAGCAAGCAGAAAATCTCGAAAAAACATGTTAGAATTCATAAATCAGTGTCACAACTGGTACAATTCAACTGGTGTCTAAAAACTAAAAGAATGTTTCCCCTTCATTTAACTAATGCTTCAATAGATCGATTTTCAAGTGCCGATAAATTTTCCCTTTCTAGAAACCGGAATCAGAAGTCGGAACGAAACCCCATGTTTCTAAGCCATAGTTGATTCGAAAAACTAAGAGAACTAGCATTCGAACTCATCGAAGAGACAACTCTTGATACAGCATTTCATATGCATGGGTTAGACAACAAGAACAGAATCCTAAGAAGACATAGTGTGTTATCTCTTAATATTACTAGCAGAATATTATTTTTTCTGAAGATACAAATTGTGAAGGAAGTAAAATACCTGCACCGACTGATACGGAACTGAAACTACACGGTTTTCTTCAACCTGGAAAACGAGTGAGTGGAAGTCGGATATTGCAAGAAAAAGATTTTGAAACTAGCAGCAAGAAATCTCGAAAGCTTAAAAAAGTTAGTACTCATCAACTAATTCCATTAATCAGCTACACAAAGTGACACCAGAACATACCTTGGACAAACTCTTGAAAAGCATCTCAAAGAAAAGATCGATGCCGACATTTCCGACATCCCCCGTCTGTTGCTCACCGAAGATAGTACCGAAGCCTCGGATACCCATGTCTCTCTCTGCAAGTTGGAAACCTTGGCCAAGCTCGCGAAAATCTTCAAGAGCAGCAAGCCTCTCCTGAGGCACAACCAAGGCAATGCCAGGTCATTTCTACAATTTTATTTCAGCATATTTGACAACAAATGGAAGGCGAAACATAGAACACATACCAATGCTTGGTCGGATAGCAAGGACTTATCAGGGTAAAATAAGTATGCATATGCTTCTCTATCCGCCCGTCCAACCCTTCCACGCAACTATTGGAATCGAAAGTTTATAGCAACATTAACAAAAGGAAACAGGATATGTACAAGTAAAATTTTGTGTATAAATCTTTCTTATCAAGAAAGCTACCAAAAATTCTTTCATGGTAGAAGATAAAAGATAACATGAACACACATAAAGAGTCATGTACCTCATAGAAAAATCGTTAATTACACATCATTTTTCCAGATAAAACCGAAAAGGAAAAGGTTCAAATTATGCCAAGACATTAGTTTCTATGTCCTTTAAATTATGCTCATGATAAAAAATTTGATAGTACTCTTCAGCATTTAACCACATCTTTTGACAATTCATAAGAACAAATGAGTTAGAAGAATCTGAAAGTGCTGGACCTGATACAATTGTGCCAGGCCAAATTGCTGAACATCCTGGATTATGATAGTGTTTGCGTTTTGAATGTCGAGCCCACTCTCAACTATATTTGTGCATATAAGAATCTTAATTTCGCCCTGCGCAAATTTCTCCATGGTTTCCTCAAGTTGCTTGGAGTATTGCTGCAAGAGGAACATAAAAGAACCAAAATATTATCAACTGATAAATACAGAAAAGTTTAACGAAAAAAAATTAGCTTTAAGGATTCTGAAAATGAAAGCATGATATACCTCACAAGCACAATTCAATTCTCAGAAAACAACCGCGATAACACTCAAGCTCATTATTTTCTAGCAGACAATAGCTCATTAAAAATTAATTTGAATATAAAAACCAAAACGTACCTTCCCATGAGCAATAGCTATATCAACATCTGGAAATGATTGTTTAAGAAAATCCATCACTTCTTCCAATCCTGTCACATAAGAGTAGAATCAATACTAACAAACCGAAAGAGTTAAAACAACACAAATGTATATATACTCTGAAATCATCTACACAATGTCGAGAATCGAGATTAGGAAAGAAGAATAACTTTGATCTTGTTGGTTATGTAGAATCCTTGGAGATAAGACTAAGGCCCTATTTGATGAACTGTTGAAAAAATTCAATCAACTAAAAATAAATATTTTCAGTGATCTAATTTTTTAAATGCATTTCATAATCCATTTTCACTTTGTAAGGAACTTTTGGAGAAAGGTTGCATGTAATAATCCATTTGATAAATTGATTTTGAGAATCAAAAATCGAAATAGAAAGCAAATGTAAAGCTTTATTGAGAGTATGATGATGGGGATGACCCAAGCGTCAGTCCCACAGGTGATATACAGATAAGTTCATCAATATTACCATTTTAAAAGAGCGGCAAGCAGACAATACATATTTGCATCAGAAACGTACTAGCACAAAATATTATTGAACCATGTAAATAATGACATGATAGTAACAAGATCTACAAGTAGGAAACTTTGGATTATGGCATTACCTTTAATTCGGGGTAAGACATAGAAAACTTGACCACTACGATCCAGCTCATACTGAATTGCTGCAATGATCCTTTCCTTACTGAAAGCTGAAAGACGGGTTTTGATAGGAACCCTTTCTGGAGGTGGTGTCGAAATTAAACTGAAAGAGTGAAGGGAAGAAGGATAGTATGCACACAACATGATTTTATTGGACTAGTAATCTAAAATTAAAGTTCAAGGAAATGCCCCTATGCTACTAAGTGATGGTTCCATTACTTGCAGGTAATTTGTTCAAGGCTCGAAACAAATACAAACTAAATGGCCTCTGAATAGGTTCATCTTGTAGGTTCCTCTAGACATTGATTCATGTTTATACAAAAACGTTCAAGGTAAGACTAGGCACTCATAACATCTACATTGCATGTAAAAGGCATTACTACTTTTCAGCTAAATCTCGTATCTGAGCTTATAGTTATACACATCAATGACATGGTTGATAATGAACCCCTTTTTCACCGAGGCATCACACTGAACAAACTGAACTGTACATCTGAATCCATGATTCCATCATCGAAAAAAGCTTTGATTTAATTTTTTTACATATATTACCTGGCATCCCGGAAACCAGTCAAAGCTAAATAAAGCGTTCTGGGTATAGGTGTTGCAGAGAGCGTAAGAACATCAACTGAAGTCTTAAAAGAAGCAATCTTCTCCTTTTGCTTGACGCCAAACCTCTATGTAAACATACAAACAAGAAAATCAAGCATCTATCTGCCAGAGGGGCATGACATGTATTAGCTAAAAGACAAGAGATGACTGCAAGGAATTCAGTTAGTACAAATTCTAACCACATGGTGTTCCCTAAACCATTTAATAACAACAACCATGAAATTACGATAGTGCTAATTACAAAATGAAAACAAGCTTTCAGTCGTTTTCTTTGTCGACTAAAAGATTATAGAGGAGGTTAAACCATAATCATGAATTCTAATCAATTACATAAAGAAAGCAAAATCCTACAAGAGCTGATGTATAAAAAAGCCTAAAATCTTGAAATCCTCGTGTAAAATATTTGTTTAGATACTGACAAGTACCGGAAGCAAACCTGTTCCTCGTCAACTACAAGCAGTCCAAGATTATTATACACAACACGGTTTCCCAGAAGCGAATGAGTTCCTACAATAATGTCTAGATCACCCTTTTTTATCATGTTCAAATACTCCTCTTTCTCTGCTTTACCCTGCATGTTGAATAAACCATATTAGTATCAAACAGTAGCCACCGTGAAATATTCTGATCCAGCATATACATATTTTTCCATAATATATTAGAAGCGAGAATGAAAATGCAAATTTCTTTGAACTTTTAGGTAAACCCCATCAACAAATTTAATGACACACAAGTCTGTAGCCATTATCTGTTTCTTAGGCAAGAAGGAACATTTAATATCTTGGTTAGAAAGTCTTCCCACCCCCAGCCCAGCACTTCTAGTCAAGTTTAAGTAAGATATTAAACATTTTGATACCAAGTTTTTAGTCAGATAATGAGGTGAACCCATTGAATAAACTTCTTGTACCTGAAACCGGCTAAGAAGTCTGACTTTGATAGTAGGATAATTGGAAAACCTTTCTGAAATGACATCAAAATGTTGCTTGGCTAGAACAATTGTAGGTGCCAACACCATAGCTTGCTTCCCTGCTGACACCACACAAAAGATGGCACGTAATGCAACTTCTGTTTTACCAAACCCAACATCTCCACATATTAATCGATCCATTGGAGTTTCTCTCTCTGTTAAGTCTTTCTCTACATCAATAAAAGCCTGTGACAAGGGAACCGACTTTGTTAGTGAAGTAAAAACATCTTATTCACCAAGGAAGATCACTGAACCTTACTGTGACTGTTGAAAAAGTAGTAGTAATCTTTGATATGCCAAAGGGAGCAAGATGATAATTTGATAACTCAAAGTGCAATAAAATCGACGAAAGGGCTCACTAAGACAAAAATGTAATAATTTTGAAAAAAGTAGTAGTTATCTTTGATATGCCAAAGGAAACTAGATGATAATTTGATTCCTCAAAAGTACAATAAAACCAAGGTAATGGCTAACTAAGACAAAAAGGTACCTGCTTTTGATCTGGTGTGGGTTCATAAGGAAACTGAGCTGCGAATTCGGCTATGGCAGGACTCCTTGGGTAAGGAGGTCTTTTTTGTTTGAGTCTATGTAAATAGAGCTCCATTAAATCTACAACCATCTTTTGAATTGCAACCTTTCCTTTGGTCTTTCTCCTCTCCCATGCACTGGTATCACTCAACTTACTCAAAGTCCTAGGCTTTTTTGTTTCATTTGGGCTGGAAATACGACCGAAACATGCCTTAAATAAGGGTGAGAAAAACTCGACTCGATTCAAAAAATCGATTTTTTCTAATTGACTGGATTCGAATTAACTTCGAGATTAATTTCATAAATTCAACTCGACTCCAAAAATTTTAAGATTAAATCGAGTTATAAATACAACCCAAATGGTAACTCTAAACTTTTAGTAATAGTGGAATGGTTTTCAAGTTTGAGTCGAGTCCATTTACTCTATAGTGAATATACATATCACCTATAAAAATATATGAAGAAATATAAGTATATTGTATATAGTTATAAAAAATCATTTAAATTAGAATCCAATAATATCATCATATTATAAATATTTACAATTAAATTTAAATATAAACTCGAAAAAGTCACTCAACTCGAATTTTATTAAATCGGCTGGATTTAAAAAAAATTCAAATCAAATTTGATTTATAAAATATCACTCATCAACTCAAATATCTCTAAATTTCATCGATCGAACACTTACCACGCAATTGAAAATCGATTTCACATTTCAACTATAAGTTAGTAACAGGAGCAGATATCAGAGCAAAATTAAACAAAAAAAAAAAACAAGAAAAAAGAGGCAGAAAAACATACAGATTATATCGATAGAGCATGCGAGCAGCCTGATTAACAGGAAGCTTAGCCATTCCATCAGCATACTCGATAAAGACATACTCGATGGGTTCAGTTGAGCTCTTAGGAACATCAAACTTAATCCCAACAAATCTTCCAACACCCACTTTCTTGTGAACGACGTAATCCCCAGAACGCAGCGTGTAAGGATCAACTTTGTAGCTGAAGACGCCTCCTTCCTTAAACTCCCTATCCCCTTTCAGCTTCTGCAACCCCCTCTGCTGCTGCTCTTTCACCAGCTGAATGTACATGTCCGCCTCCTGCGAGTCCATTGCGGGCCGTATGGACTCTCTCTTGCTGTGGTCACGGCGTACCCTTTCGTTGAGGATGGAGATGGCATCGGTCTCGAGCTCCGTCTTTTCTCTTTTTGGAACCAAATTGTGGGTTTTGAAACTGGAGATGGGGAGACGCCCTTGAGTGTGGACTGCCATGGTGGTTAATGATGAATATGGAGGTTGAATGAGGAAAGGGCGGTTGACGGTGAAAAGGGACCATATAGAAGAAGAAGAAGAGCCGAGTTGGAGAAGAAGAGGCGTGGACACTTGTGGTGCAGGAAGAAGGGAAGCCATTGTTGTTGATGAAGAAGAAGAAGAAATGAATGTTCAGAGAAAAGAAGAGAGATTGGGCATTTTTTTTGGGTTGGGGAATAGAGAAGGAACAAGAGGTGTAGTATAGAAGAGGGGATAAACAACTGGAGATTTAAGAGGGTTTTTACGGTTTTGGACGAGGTGGACCATTTTGTGTCCACACATATATCTTTTTAGGGTTATTTTCAAATATGGTCATCAAATTATTTTTAAATGATCTTTTGGCATTAAATTTTTAAAAATTATAAATAGATATTAAATCATAGGGTAAATTACATGTTTAGTATCTAAACTATCGGTTTCAGTTCGTTTTAGTACCTAAACTTTTAATTTTTTCAAAGCTATACCTAAATTTTAGTTTTTATTTTATTTTAGTAACCATCATTAACAACTTTAGTTTTTTGTTTCATTTTAGTACCCCTGTTCAAAATTTCACTTTAAGTTTTGAAAAAAATTGAAAGTTTAGGTACTAAAACGGACCAAAACTGATAGTTTATGTACTAAACGTGTTAAGGTTTTAACGATGAGGTACTAAAATGAAATAAAACTAAACTTTAGGTATGATTTAAAAATCTAAAAATTTAGGTACTAAACAGGCCAAAACTAGTAGTTTGTATACTAAATGCGTAGTTTACCCTTAAATTTATTATGAAATAGGCATTGTGCGGTTATTTTTTTTAGGGGTGTAACTGAATCGAGTTTGAACAAATAAGATTATATTTGTGGTCGTTTGTTTACTTTTGAATGTGTTCATGTTTGGTTCGTGTTCGTTTAAATTCTTAATATGTGTACATGTTCATTTATTTATTCTTGATGATGTTCGTGTTCGTTTATTTATTGTTTGTGAACATATTCATTTAGTGCTCACGAATATATTCATTTATAGTTTGTTTATATGTTCAATTTTTAGTTTTACCCCTTCATTTGTTAGCTAAATATAAAAATGATAAAATCACGACACTAGTGCTTAAACTCCTTAAAATGCACAGTTTAAATTTCAGCTGTAATCATGTATTTAATTTAGCCTCTACCTTCAACAATATTTAAAATATAAAAAAATAAAAATAAAAGGAAAAAGAGAATCAAATAATCAAGCTTGTTCATGAATATAAATGAACAAGTCTTATAAATGAGTTTGTTCGTGAACATAAACGAACCAAACACACATCTATTCATGTCCGTTCGTTTATTAAATGAACATAAAAAATTATTCATACTTATTTATTTAACCTGACAAATGAGTATGAACGAACGTTATACAAACGATTCATGAAAATCTCACTGAACGCTCTGTTCATTTACACCGCTATTTTTCCTTAACAATAATGGTTAATATCTCATATGTTCCCTTAATTATAAATAAAATTTTATTTTTAGTATTTTTCTAATGATTTTAAAAATTAAAAAAAATTAAAAAAATATATAATTATAATTAATTTTAAAACTATAAAATAATGTTAAAATTATAATTTTGAGAAAAATGTTTTATAAATTTTAAATAATTTGATTCTTTTGTAATCTGATCTCTAATATATTTCTCTAGTGACTCTTCTATTTTAAGCTTTTGCAGGAATGGGCACTAACAACAAAAAAAGAACTTTTCTCAAACCCTTTTCCTACAAATAGTAGAAAGCTGTAGCTTTACAAAAATAAATCTGAAAACTATCTTCTTCATTCGTCGTCGTTTGCCGGCTCCGACCATCGAATATCCTCAATTTTAGTGTATGACATCCCCATGTTCTCCGTGCCTATCGATCGTTTGAATTTGCAGAGCCCCAAAACTCTACAAATCGGAGATGCATCAAACTGGGTAACCTCAGTCCTTTTTTTTTTTGGCTTTTTTATGTTTATTATTTGCTGATATTGTGATTAAATGTAGGTTTTGGGTATGATTTAAGTTAACGTCAGAGTACGAGTCGGTTAGGGCCAATCAAAACGAGGTCAAGGGATGGCTCGGTTTGGTTGTGTTTGGCTTGATGTTTCGGGTTCACTAGGGGTGAGGATCGATGGTAAATGGAAGGCAGCAAGCTCATGACAAAGGCAATGTCTTCACACATTGTTCTTCAAACATTCTACATTAATATATATGTTCCTCCAAACAAAAACTCAATACATGACGTGATTAATTGGCAGTTCCATAGAGGTACCGCGTGTCACATACCCGAAAATATAATGTACATCACACATAAGAGATGCAAGAAAATGAAACCCTCAAATTGAGACGAGGAATAAACACACATAAATATACTTAGCTGTTGGTCCGGACCGAGTCTTCCCGTCCCACATTCCGATTCCCATGTCACAATACGAAGGATTTAAGGATTCCAATAACCTCAGTAGCACATAGCAGGCTTCATATGCCTACATGTATATGCTCCACTCACCATCCTGACTTCAAATTCAATCAAGTTAGTGAAGAAGAAAGCACCATAATTCATAATTAAAGCTCAAGACCATAACATCACAAGTAATAGAAAAGTGTTCTACACTTTTCAGCTCCTCCTAGTCCTAGTATTTATTTAATATTTAATTTAAGTTATTATTGCCTAACAATAGTCCATTACCCTTCCTTTTAAGGAGCGTAAGCTCAGCTTTAGTGTACTGCAAACAATAGGTCGGTTTTACTGAGACAATGATCAAGAAAAATAACCAAGCCCTCAAATTAGTTCTCTATTGAAAAAAAATGAAATATAAGTGTGTGCGCGTGTGGATGAAAGTGTCTCACCTTACCGAGGCAACAGTATTAAGCTGAAATAGAACCCTGTCTTGCCTTAAGCACGAGTTCCTCAGTGGTTACACCTATAATCTCATTTGCACGTTTCAGTCCAACACAATAATATCGTCCAATAGTATCCTGAATTCAAAAGCATTCACACAAATTTATCCACCTATATATTTAACAACTGTGAATATGATAAAGTTTGTTGAGGTGGAAATATAAACCCGAGAAACGATTTTCAACTTCTCTAGCTTTTCAACTGCATCATCCACATCGAAGTTGCAGCTCTCCTCAAATTCCTCTTTAATTAGTTCCTCGCACCTTATATCCAAATCCTATATTGAATTATTGAAAGGTTATGCACTACTAAAATGGACCCACGTAAAAACTTGTCCCATTGAAGAATATCTATAAAGCAAGGAATGAAAATATGATGATGCATACCTCCATGGTAGCTTTACCTTGCTCCATAAGTATAAAGAATGAGATGATTACCTCTTTCACCTGAAGACAAAATTATTGTTAAAAAAAAGGAAATATGTAGAACAGAAGCAAAAGAACACTTAAAAGATACACTCTGTGTTTGACATCATATCCTATATGCACAACACATCAAAGCTTGGCAACCAGATAACCTAGAAATTAAGGTTCAAATGGTGAAGGTTATACAGCTTCTCTTGCTTTTAATATGTAATCAATAGATACTACAGTTTCATTGCTTTCTGCAGGAAAATGAACTAAAATTCTGACACAAGACAGATAAAGAGAGGAATATAAAAATTAAAACGAAAAAAGTAAAGAAAATGCGACTTACTTCCTGTTGAATCACATCATCACACAAGTGAAGCAAAGTACCCTTTCCACTATCGAGTTGTTTGTCATACATGGACTGTGTTATTAAATTCTGATATGCAGCCATGTTTGATTCAAACCTAAATGGCAATAAGAAAATGATACCACAAATCAATCAGTCAAACAAGTTGAAACACATAAAGCAACAGAGACACCAATATATCACAGCGTAGACAGCCAGCCAGAGGCACGGGGGAGAACATTGTACATAATCAAGAGGACATCCCTAACCCACTTATATTTCTGAATGCACCCATCAAGATCAAGTCCCATAGTAATGGGGTTTTCACATTTAATAGAGAAGTGCATAAGACATATTACATATATTAATCAAAGATGGAGGAAACCATACGTGAAATATGTCTTAGCACAGTAACCAATCACAGTTGACAAAATGGCAAAAATGACCCAGAGATCAGCTTTAGGCATTTGAAGAGAACTAAACAAAGTAACCTGTGAATAAAGGCACAATAATAATGCAATCAGTCAATATGAATACCAGGCAGAGAAGAAAAAATGGTGGAAAGACAATAACAGGTGACAGAAACATTATTGCTCAACTGACCATCCCCACAACAGCCGAAACAAGGAACTTGACCCAGTCCATAGGAGTCAATCCTGGATTTTTCTTTTCAGGCTGTTGAGAAGAAACAAAAAGAATATCATACACATGACCAGATGTCGTAGAAAAGCTTTGAGAAAAGAGCTAAGAGTGACTCACAAGGACTATTTCCAGATCCGCCATTGGAATATTTTTGAAATGTTTTACATATATTCCTCGTTCCTTATTTGGTTTTGTACTTGCTCTCCTGCAAGTTCACTTAACTTCTTAGATTTCAATGCATTGCTCTTCAAAAGTTCTATAAAACTAATTTAGGAAGACACCAGATCCGAGGGTAGTTTAGCCTTTTTCCCTAAAGAAATTAAGATTCATTGTCCATAGAAATTTGTTTTGATGCCCTTTTCCTTTCTTTTTTCTTTCCAAACAAGATCATTCTCTCGAGGCCAAGAGAATTAAAACCGAGGTACTTTCAGAATACCATTCCACCAATCAATATGTTCAACCTCAATAAAATTGACCAAGAAACTGGCTTTCTAATATATCCATATCAATAAACTAAGAAAGACATCATTGACACAATTTTCTATTTTCTAATTTATCTCAACTGGAAAATTGTATGCTAAGATGCAGCATGCAGTACCTGTAAACAACAATTATCCTATCAAAAGTAGGCTCTTGGATTGTAGTCTTGCTCACCAAGTTCTTGATGCTGTTTAATACAGAATAAGCAAGTTATTGAGTAACGATGCCACCAGAAATTCAAGACAGAGACATGATTTTAATAATAAAAGCACATTACTATTAAGAGGAAAGACATACCCAAATATTAATATTAAAACTTAAACATAAAGCCAAAATGTAGCTGCATTAAATTCGTTAATTTTCTGGACTAATTCAGAATTTAATGTCCATGGTATGGTAAGCATCCTCAAGTTGCTCAGAAAGCCAATATATGATATATGGTAAATATATTCAACGATAAATACTATCCTCAAATTAACGAACAAGAAGGTACTTGATGACCTTATGTCCATTTTTTCAAGACGGATCCGTTCAACATACAAATCTTCATTGTCTGCATCAGGGTTAATCTCATCATCCTTCTTTGGCTCCTTATTTTGTCGCCCTCTTGATCTTTTGCTCAAAAGTTTTTCCAACCTGCAAGGATAATATTTTTGGAAAGCGTTAAAAAGAAGAAAATAATGTATGAAGTAATCAAGTTTATGAGGAAGCGAAGATAGATACTAAAAGCATGTCATGTCCAACTCTATATTTTGTGCAGTAAATTAACAATTTAGGACCCTTTGTAAGTGAAGACTGCAGTATGGTCAAACATCCCTCAACCTGCCAATCATACTGATTCCAATATATTTCGAGTCAGAAATTTTGTTGAATTACATTCCATTTGTTAGCCATACGAAATTTTCTAATTACTTCTAGCAAATGTATCTAATGATGCTTAAAACAATAATATACCATAAAAACCATTAAGGTAATAATTTCCTTAAACACACTCACCGAGTTATCCTTAAAGTAAATGCCCAAAGACGTGAAATGATCATGTCCACTTTCTCCATGAAAAAGTAATCAGTTGTACGATCCAATCCTATTCCACGTCTGAAGATAATGTACTGAAGACAAAAAAGATGTACTACTTAGCTTGAGAGAGAGAGACAGATCAACTAGTACCTCTGAATCAAATATATACAAGCAAGCATTATCTAAAATTTCTTAGACACGGCACTTGCAATAATATCTTTAGATTAATAGGATGGCATGTGCAAAATAATTGAGAATATCATATTATATATGTCTCAAATCTCAATCATAATAAAATGCCATTAACCAAAGCAAATCTCTGGACTCTGGGCTATACAGTAATATGCAGATACATAGCAAACACAACATGAAAAATACAAAGAGAAAAGACAAACTAGTGCAAACTAAAGGCTCGATAAAGAGACAAGTTCAATATCTAAACCCTTTAGGTTTCATCATTATTGAGTGTGTTATATGTCAAACTCAATAAAAGAGAACCTTCGTCCTACTAGTGATTATCTAAAACAACACAAACAATAATGCACCTTTTACGCTAAATTGTATTAACAACCTTATCAGCAAAATCCGGAAGGTTTGCTTGGGGGTGCTCTGAAAAATATCTCTTCAGAAGTGTCTTGTCAATCTGCATTCAATCAAAAATTTAAACAACACAGAATAAAACCCTCACTATACATTCAAATAAAGACTTAATAACCGGGCAGGATTATACACAAAACACAAGAAGTTGAAGACGACCTTAGATTCATCAACTACTATGGGAAGATTAAGAAGATATTGCCCCGCAAGTGCAACATCAATCTCCTCATCAGTCGTAATCTTAAAATTACTCTTCTCCATCACCTGTAAACCGAAGGGTCTCAAATTCCAATATATTGTGTTGTTGGATTCAATTTGTCTATTTAGGGTAAAACATCGGAGACACACTTATCAGACATGAAATTCCAGTCATATCGATACCTGAAATAAATATGTTAAGAAATTCTGTTCAAGTACATCTACTTCTTCAGAAGATAAATTCTGTTGCTGCAATTTCTCAGCCCCGTGCACAGGGTCAAAGAGGGAGTACAATTGCTGTAAACATAAATTCAACTAAAATTAGAACAAAAAGAAACAAAAACAGGAAGAGAAAAAAGTCGACGGATCAAGTTCGCAATATACCATCAAATCCTCAAACTGGAGAAGATACCAAGCCCGTATCGTGTACTCCACTCGCTTGCAGAACTTCAAGAACTCTGCCCGATCAGAACTATGCTCTGCGACACATAAAAACCGTAAGACTCGAGTAAAAAAAGTACAAAAACCCTAAAAAAGAGGAAATTGAGAAATGGATTACCGATTAGGTTGGCCAAAGTCATGATGAGCTTGGGCTTGAGGATGGGAATGACGGATTCACGCTCTAATCGGATGACATCTTTGTTTTTGCTGCCCATTGCAGAGAAACCTGCGTGGATTCAAGGAAGAAGAAGAAGAAAGTAGAAAGAAACGGCGATTTCTTCAGTTTAATAGATTCGTGGCTTCGGTTGAACGGAAAGCAGGGTAAATTGTAACTGGTAAGACTGTCCATCTTTGTATCCGCCAGCTTGTTATTGCCCTTATTTTTCACGCTTTAATTGCCCAAATACAAAGCTTTTGGCATTCCTTTCCCATTTAATTTTTTTAATACAAAAGGATTGAGGGTTGGGTAGGGCTGTAAATGAGACGAGACAGATCGTGAGTTATTTGAGATCGACTCGATTAAGATTCGATAAATACTCGGATCGAATGGACTCGACTCAAGCTCGAATTCGACTCGAGTTCTTAACGAGCTGAAATGAGCTACTCGATATTCGACTCGAAAAGCTCGTGAGCAGCTCGAAAATATAATATATTAAGATTTTATTTTAAAAAATAAATTAATAATAATATTAATATTTATGTATTGATTTTTTTAAAATATAATAAGATTTCGTGTATTTAAGGTTCATGTTCGAGTTTGAGGCTTTAATCGAGTTAAGTTTAAGAATTTTTTTTTTCATTTCGAGCCTTTTCGAGCTGCTCACGAGCTTCAGTTCAGGATTTCGAGTTCGAGTCGAGCTTGAAAATTTTAAGCTCGCGAGTTTTCTAGTCGAGTCGAGCTCCATTTCAGAGTTTTCGAGTCGAGTCGAGTCGAGCTCAGCAATACTCGAACTCGACTCGGCTCGTTTACACCCCCTAGTTGGGGGTTAGAATTTGGCGTTAAATTTATAGATTTTTATTTTTATTTTTATTTATAAATTATCATGTCATATTAAAATAATAGTAAAATAGTCCATATAGTCAAAAGAGTTATTAAATTAGAAATAATTTGAAAGTTTAATGATTAAATTGAAAATTGAAAATTTTAATTATCAAAATAGGAGTGAGAAGATAATTGAATGATAAACAGTTTAATTTATCCTTTAATTTATTTGATATGACAATAACTGAATTTACAACGTTAATTTATTTGATACGACGATGACTCATTGAGTACTCCGAGTACCACAGAGATTTGAATTAGAAGAAAACATTGTTAGGAATTTACAAGTAAAAAAATAATCAAAGTGATATCAAAATAATATAAAGCATGTATAAGAGATAAAATTTAGTGTGATTTTGGTATAGATAGGTAAAATCCGATATATCTCAAAACACTCTTTCATCATCGTACAAAATTGTCTCTTTAACATAACCTCGAAAGTATAGATTAAAAAAAGAGTATATCTCTCCAAAATAATTTTCTCCCACATAACCTTAAGGGGGCGTATGGTTGGCAAAAAAGATTATTATCAAGGGGAATAAATTTTTCAGGAATTATATTATCAAGTTTGGTTCACGGAAAAGAATATTACCAAAAAATAATATTTTTCCAATAGTAACTTTTTTTGTTAAGATGGTGGAAATGTCATTACTTCAATTGGTTGTGATGAGTTATGATAGTGAGTAGCTAAGCTGCCTTGATTATCATTGTATGGAATTGATATATATGTGTGGCCTATGGGCATATTTGTATTCATGTGTGATTGTATTGATGTTGATTGATGGATATCTATAATGTTTGGCGCTTGACTGGTGTTGTGATATTGAGTTAATATTATGTTTGAGCGAGAATTATATCAAGGTTGATGTGACGGTTGTAGATGTCTTTAAACGAATTTATGATGTTTTAAATGAAAATGAAAGTGATTTTGAAATATGGTGGTTGCCTCGATAGTCCAATGTAGCACTTTAAGCTCAATCAGAATTAGAGTATTACAAACGGTCTAGTGATAAGAGCTATTAGAACGATTTTCTGATTTTCTGATTGTCTTGTCTTACATTGACACTCTAGTAAGTGCGGTTGACAGGATGGAGAATGTCATACCTTAGAAAGGTAAGAAAAATTAATCACACATCGAAAAGTAGAATAGAGGTATTTGAAGTTTAAAAGGGGTGGTGCTGCACATCTTGGACATATTATGGTTACTTACATTCATTTCCTCTTTATTTTTCATAGGGTTGGTTCGAAATTAGAAAATAGCAATTGATGTTGTCAACTCCATAAATAGGGATAGTCATGGGTCGGGTTTTTGGTCCACCCGACCCGACCCGAGAACAAGGGAGTCTCCACCCAAGACCCGACCCGAAATAATAAAAAATTATTTTTATTCAATAAAAACAATGACTTAATTAAAAAAATTTATTTATAGAGAGGTATTATTGTAATTATTCCTAAATATATAAGTTAAAATCATATATTTTTTTGGGTCGGGTCGGGTTGGAACCCATCGGATTCGAGTTGAGTGCCCATCCCTATTCATAAATAACTAGGATAATGCATCTACACTATTCTCTTAAAAGCCTTAGAAAAAGAGATCAAACTATATATGAGTACCTTGCCCAAATTCAAGCTATCTATGAAGTCTATCCATATGTGGTCACCCTTTGATGGAAATGATGCATTTCTGCAGTATTATTGAGACTCTTATAAGAATATGATCTGGCGGTAGACGTGATTACTTGTAGTCAATAGCTTGATTTGAAAACATTAAATATGTGGTACTTTTGGTTTGGATTGCTTTCGATTATGGTTAAATTGAATATAAGTTATATTAATTCAACTAAAATTTTGATCAATTTCGGTTCAATACGATCTTTTTCGAATTTCGGAGTTAAATCATAATGTTTGAGTTTATATCGAATTTCGATTCATCGAATTCGAATTAAATTTATCATATCTAATAATACCTTCGCCCTCGGCAAATATTCCATGGCCAAGAAGATCTGCAAAAAAGCGTACGCCACTGCCTTTTTGAAGCAAATAACTTTATTATTAATCCACTCATTAAGAATGTTCCATCTTCACTTTGACAGGTCAAGGGCAAAGCCTTGCGATTCTCAGAATGAAAGCTGAGAATGCATAGCCAAAACATGTCTTATAAAAAATAATAAGTTAAACTACACATTTAGTACCTAAATTATTATTTTTGATCCATTTTAATACCTAAACTTTCAATTTCAAAACTTAACTTTAAATTTTAAATGTGTACTAAAATTAAACTAAAGTTTTTATTGACAAGATACTAAAATGAAAAAAAACTAACTTTAGGTATGATTTTGAAAAAATTGAAAGATTAGGTACTAAAACGGACCGAACTGATAATTTAGGTACTAAACATATAATTTATCCTAATATTTATTCGACCACCAAAATCTCTATAACATATTTTGCATATATGCTGGTAGTTTAAACAAAACTAATGACATTTTCTACTAATTTCTATCCAAATTTGAATATTCTTAATTTTATTTTAACATGCAATTCTAGTACTTAGTGTTATTTTCTTTAATCTAATGAAACGAGACATTAAATCTTTTAAATAAGGTAAGAGATTTAAATCTTAATATTGTAAATGAAATATATTAGATTAGGAGAGTCGATGAGATAAATAGACCTTGCCCGTAGCCTCGTTCCAAGGAAGATCGATTTTGTCTTCAATTTCGGTTCGAAAAAAAGAGAGAAAATTTTGCAATCATACAAATAAATTAAAAGAAAACAAATCACAAACGGAAAGAATCAAACAAAGCTAATAGTATTCAAGTTCCATATGAAATGAACGTAGAAGATGAAGAAGAATATGTACTTTTCTCCATTGTTTGAACATGTAACAATTTTTAGGGATAGAGTCATAGTTAACCTATGAAATATTGTAGAGAAAATAACCTCAGTGACCAAAAATCCTAGATAATATACGATTTTGACCAATTTTTTTTTGATTTGCGAAAATGACCAACAAAATCGCAATGCGATCTCTAATTCGCATTGCGATCTCCACTATCGCAAATTCGCGTTGCATTTCGCGTTGCGATAGTTGAAAATCGCGTTGCGATTTTCCATTTCGCGTTGCGATTTTCCATTTCACGTTGCGATAGTTGAAAATCGCGTTGCGATGTTCCATTTCGCGTTGCGATAGTCTACAGTTGTCGTTGCGATTTTCCAAATTCGTTGCGAAAATTCATTGTGATAGTTAAAAAAAAGATTTTGTTTCTCTAAAAAGATAGTATCCGCTCGGACGTGTATTACCACGACCACGACCACGACCCGAGACGAGACGGACGGACGGCGGCTGCGGCGGCGCGCAAGAGTCCCCCTTGTTCTCTATCACTCAACAAGGAAGTGAGAAAGCCAAGTCTTAAATACCATTCCCAATAGTGTTTCCAATACTATGTGGGATTGAGCATTACCAACACTTGTTTCCAATACAATCTGATTATTCAGGAAACAATTAACAATCATACACCTTAAAACAACTGAATCAGCAACCAATTACATTAGTATTATACGATTAAATATGTCATAATTAAAAGTCAATCTACAATCAATCACGATTATTGCAATTTTAAGCAAAACATTCAAAAATAATATCACTATTTAAGGCTCAATCCCACATAGTATTGGGAACAAGTGTTGGTAATGCTCAAATCCCACATAGTATTGGAAACACTATTGGGAATGGTATTTAAGGCTTGACTTTTCCACTTCCTTGTTGAGTGATAGAGAACAAGGGAGACTCTCGCGCACCGTTGCCGCCGCTGTCCGTCTCGGGTCGGGTCGGGTCGGGTCGTGGTCGGGTCGGGTCGGGTTGTGGTCGTGGTAATACGTATCTTCGACACGTCCGCGCGGATACTATCTTTTTAGAGAAAATTCTTAAGAAACAAAACCTTTTTTTTAACTATCACAACGAATTTGGAAAATCGCAACGACAACTGTAGACTATCGCAACGACAACTGTAGACTATCGCAACAAATTCGGAAAATCGCAACGACAATTGTAGACTATCGCAACGCGAAATGCAACGTGAATTTGCGATAGTGGAGATCGCAATGCGAATTAGAGATCGCATTGCAATTTTGTTGGTCATTTTCGCAAATCCAAAAAAAGTTAGTCAAAATCAGATAATGGATTTTTGGCCACTGAGGTTACTTTCTCAATATTGTATGTAGTATTTATATTTTAAAAATGTGTGCAATGATTTTTCACCGTATATCGGGTTTGTTAATTATTAATGTGATGCCCACTTCTAGCATTATTAATGGGGTAAATTACACGTTTAATATTTAAATTATATATCGATTTTGATTTGTTTTAGTATTTAAGTTTCCATTTTTTTTAAATCATACCTAACGTTTATTTTTTGTTTCATTTTAGTATATCGCCGTTAAAAACTTAACGGACTGGCTGACATAGCATAGCTTCAGTGGACGGATGACCAATTCGAACGGTGGACCGCGAGAGAATGACGAGTCGACCAACATAATCCAGTTTTAGGTCCACCTGACGGTGGACCATGGAGATCGGAGGATGAAGAAATCAAAGAATCCATCGTCGATTTGGAGAGACTGATACGTTTCCCGATGAAACGGAAGCCGGAATCGTTTTCAGGGGGTCGAAAAAGTGCAGGCTAGAAAGTTTGGGCTTCATCAGTAGACAAATGCAACGGTCGACGAATGTAGACGCGACAACTGACGAGCCTGTCCGTTAAAGCTTTTAACGGCGGGATACTAAAACGAAACACAAACGAAACGTTAGGTATGATTTTGAAGAGAAAAAAAATGAAACTTTAGGATTCATTGTTTACTTCCCCGTATGAATTTGGTGACTATTGACATGTTTAATCAGGCAAAATAAGCTATCTATTTCCATAAGGTCAAAAATCATTGTCGAGTTGAACATGAAAACTTTATGATATTAAACAAGTTAAATTTAAGTATTTTATACCTAAACAGATAGATTTTTATATTAAAAGTAAAGATGAGTATTCAGTCGAGTAGAATCGAGTGAAAAAAATTAAGTTAGTCGAATTTACAAGTATTATTTTATATTTTATATTTTATTTAAAACTTTTTAAATAGAAATGAATGTAATATTTGTTCAAGTTTCTATTCAAATTTAATTATAATGTCATGTTATTAATTTATTCCAATTTAAAAAATTCTCTCCATCCATATATGATATACATATATTGTCGATCGATTATCATGTTGCGACCATGAAATTAAATATCGATTTGTTATCAGAATAATAATTGTTCTATAACGATAAAGATACTATTCAAAATTGTTATTTTACAATCGCGATACTTGTAATAACTACAATAACATCCATTATTATTACAATCGTGATGAACTCTTCGCGATTGTAACTGCAATTTAAATTTTTCACATCGTGGGTGTGCTTGTTTTCTCCTTGTTCGTGTTAGGGTTTGGGAAGCTCAAGTCATACGGGAGATCAAGGACGAAGCTACCCATTGTCGCACTGCCCTCTTTATTTTTTTATTATTAAAAAAATATACAAAAATATTAAATTAGGATTTCAAAATTTGATTTTATCTCTCTATTTTTAACGATTAATTATATTTTATCACTTTTAAATTAGAATTTTAGTTCCGTCGCTGTGGAACGATGTTGCTGCTAAGAAGTAACATGGATTTTTTTTTTTGGTTCTAATTTTTGTCGACTTACAAGTGGAACCAGACTTTGGGCAGCCGAAACCTAAACGAGCCTGCCCAGATGAGATGATCCCACCTCACCCACTATGTACACAACTTGGTCAAGACTTATATTTAATACGTACGCTGGATGACTTTTATAGCACCGCAAAAGCCCCCAAGAAATGGGAAAGCCAGCCGGTCAAGACTACCATTTGGCGCCTTCTACTAGGCACCTTCCCCCTTCATTGTCATATTTAGTTAGTTTAACCCCTCCTTGGAAAAAAATGTTTGGTTATTTTAAATTCATAATGCCCTATTCCTTTTATATATATATATTATAAGCGTTGACAAATGCTAAACAAAGCCTAAATGGAACCTCCAGCGTTGGGACTCATCAACTAAAATTTGAAACAACATATGGTCGCTTATTAACCCTTGGCGTCTAAACTACGAGATTTGGTTCGTTTAAGCATCTAAACTTAAAATATATAAATATCCAAATTTTTATTTTTTTTAAATTATACTTAACGTTTAGTTTTTGTTTCATTATAGTATCTCGTCGTTAAAAACTTAACGGATGGGTTAACGGGGCATAGCCTCGGTGGACAGACGACCAATTCGAACAGCGGACCACGAGAGAATAACAAACCAACCAATATTGTCTAGTTTCAGGCCCATCGGACGGTCGACGACGGAGATCGAAGGAGGAAGAAGTCGAAGATTCCATAATCGATTTGGGAAAATTGAGTTATTTTTCGATGAAACGAAGGCCATAATTATTGTTCAAGGGATCGAAAATATGCGGACTGAAAAGTTTGGGTTGCACCAGCCGACGCATGCTACGGTCGGTGATTGTAGATGTTGCGGTCAACAAGCTCGTCCCTTAAGTTTTAACATCGCATACTAAAATGAAACAAAAATAAAATGTTAAGTATAATTTAAAAAAAATAAAAGTATAAATACTAAAAATATCAAAATTAATCTTTTAAATACTAAACACATAATTTACCCTTAACCGCTCGCTACTTGCTTTTCAAGTTGAACCGACCAAAAATAATAACTTTTTAATCGATGCTAATGATTTGTTTTACAATAAACTTTTTTTTTTGAAACGATGTAGTTTTAATGGATTTTATTTTTGTCTTACTAGTATATACGAGAAAATAATCTCAGTGACCGAAAATGTCTTATAATATACGATTTTGATCAACTTTTTTTCGATTTGTCAAAATGACCAACAAAATCGCAATGCGATCTCCAAATTCGTTGTGATAGTCGAAGTTCGCGTTGCGATTTTTCAAAATCGCAACGATTGGTGGTATTGCATTTGTTTCTTAAGAATTTTCTCTAAAAAGACAGTATCCGCGCGGACGTGTCGAAGACACGTATTACCACGACCACGACCCGAGACGGGACAGAACGACTGCAGCGGCGGTGTGCGAGAGTCCCCCTTGTTTTCTTCCACTCAACAAGGAAGTGGGAAATCCAAGCCTTAAATACAAATTCTCAATAGTGTTTCCAATATTATGTGGGATTGAACATTGCAAACACTTGAGAATCTTTTACACTATCTCAACACATTCTTTATTGTTTCAAACTAAGATTTTACAAATGGCTTGTGAATCTTTTACACTATCGCAACACATTCTTTATTGTTTCAAACTCTTCGTGAATTTTGAATAGTTAAAATGTAAACTTATTTTGGATTTATCACTATCGCAACACATTTTAACTATCGCAACACATTTTTTAAAATCGGGTTGCAAATCTTACAATCGCGTTGCGAATATGGATATTCGCGTTGTGAATTTGGAAACTGAGTTGAAAAATTAGAGTTCGCGTTGCGATTTTGTTGGTCATTTTGGTAAATCCAAAAAAATTGATTAAAATCGTATATTATAAGGTATTTTCGAACACTGAGGTTATTTTCTTTATATAATATTATAGGATGGACAAAACTACACGGGGTATGATTTTTTCCACTATCTCCAAAAGTTTTTTTAGCGGTCCTTTCACTCTACTTCCCCCCGGGGACTTTCCTCTTATTTCCTTTAATTTGGAGATGATTTAAGTTTAAATAACTAATCAACATTTAAATAATTGGATAAAATACATAAATGACACCTCGACTATAAATTTTTATTTTGTTTAGTCTTTTGACTATTAAAATTTACGAAATAATCCCTTGACTATGGTGCATTGTTTTGTTGAGTTCTGACTATTAAAAGTTACGAAATGATCATCAGACTATTCATATGTTTCAAACTCATCTCTTTTTGTTAAAAAATTGAAGACAACTTGAGTTGGACGTTAACCTATTGACTTTGATATGATAAAATATGATCATAAAATCTCAAACGACAGTCAAATGATCATTCTGTAACTTTTAATAGTTGAATGACTCAACAAAACATCCTATCATCGGAGGAACATTTAATAAATTTTAATAGTTGATGATTCAACAAAACATCACTTTATAGTCAGGGGACAATTTGTGTATTTTACCCTAAATAATATAAGTTTAAAACGTAAATATAAATAAATAATTTTAGTCACCAATATAATTAAATAAAAATCCAATAGGGCAAAACTTAAATTAATGGGTAAATTATGCATTTAGTACCTAAACTATTAGTTTTGGTTCGTTTTAGTACCTAAACTTTCAATTTTTTAAAACCATACCTAACGTTTAGTTTTTGTTTCATTTCAGTACCCATTGTTAAAAACTTAATGGATAGGCTCGTCGTCTTTCACGTCTACAGTCGCCGACCGTCGCATCCTTTGGCTGGTGATGCCAAACTTTTCATCCTACACCTTTTCAACCCCCTCAATGTGATTTCGACCTCTGTTTCACCGGAAATTGTCTCAATCTCCTCAATTTGACAATGGACTCTTCAACTTATTTATCCTCCATTTTCATTATCATCCGTTTGATAAAATGGACTATGTTGGGTGACTTGCCATTCCCTCTTGGTCCACCGCTCGAATTTGTTTTCCGTCCACCGGAGCTATGCCCGTCAGCCTATCCATTAAGTTTTTAACAACGGGTACTAAAATGAAACAAAAATTAAACGTTAGGTATGATTTTGAAAATGAAAGTTTAGATACTAAAATATATCAAAATTGATAGTTTAGGTACTAAACACATAGTTTACCCTAAATTATTTCCAACCTGGGAAATAATGGACTGAAATTGAAATATACCCAAAGGCCAAAACGCGTGGAGAGGGTCCAATGAGGTTTGCTTCCAATTTTCGCGTAAACAGCCGTTTTCCTCATTTGCTTTTGCTGCTATAAATACTCGTCTTCTCCCCCAACAAAGCAATTCATTCACTCATTCGTTTTTTCTTTACTAAAAAGGAGGGTTTCTACCCCCAGCTTATGTCTCAAAGGCCTAATATTCCCCACTCTTCTTCAATAGCTTTTGGTCTCCATTCTCATCTCCTGGTTTCCAGTGAGATAAACCCTACCTCCAATTGGTCTCACTAGTTTCATATTTCTAATTTTTTTCTTCCTATTTAACTCAACTGGGTTTAACTTTTCTTTGAATATTCGACGATATGGGAGTCAAAGGTTTTGTTGAAGGAGGCATAGCCTCAATCGTCGCCGGATGTTCCACTCATCCGCTTGATTTGATCAAAGTCCGGATGCAACTCCAGGGCGAAAGCCATGTCCCGAATCCGGCTGTTCAATCTCTCCGCCCCGCTTTAGCCTTTCAAACCACCACTACCACCGCATCCTCTGCCGTCCACATGCCACCTCCTCCGCCTGTCAAGGCAGCGCGTGTTGGACCGGTCGCCACCGGGATCAGGATCTTCCAGACCGAAGGCGTGGCTGCTCTTTTCTCTGGCGTTTCTGCTACTGTTCTTCGCCAGACCCTCTATTCCACTACCCGCATGGGACTCTACGACATCCTCAAACAAAAATGGACCGATCCGGAGACGAAAACGATGCCTCTCTCTCGCAAAATCGGCGCCGGATTGATCGCTGGCGGGATCGGAGCCGCTGTGGGGAACCCGGCGGACGTGGCCATGGTCCGGATGCAAGCAGACGGACGCCTCCCCGTTTCTCAACGCCGTAACTACACCAGCGTCGTGGACGCCATCACCCGCATGAGCAAACAAGAAGGGGTGACCTCCTTGTGGCGTGGCTCGTCTCTCACCGTGAATCGTGCGATGCTGGTGACAGCATCTCAGCTGGCTTCCTACGATCAGATCAAAGAAACGATCTTGGAAAATGGGTTGATGAAAGATGGGCTCGGGACGCACGTGGCGGCGAGTTTTTCAGCTGGGTTTGTGGCGGCGCTGGCGTCGAATCCAGTCGATGTGATCAAAACAAGGGTGATGAACATGAAGGTGGAGGCGGGGCAAAAGCCGCCGTACGCGGGGGCGTTGGATTGTGCAATGAAGACGGTGAAGGCCGAGGGACCCATGTCTCTGTATAAGGGGTTCATACCCACAATCTCAAGACAGGGACCGTTTACGGTGGTGCTGTTCGTTACTCTGGAACAGGTCCGGAAGTTGCTTAAGGATTTTTAAGGATGATGATGAAAATTGGTGTTAGAATTGTAAGAGAATGTTACTGTGATTCTCAGTTTTAATAATGAATGATGTTTGGTCCTTTGTATCAGTATAATTCAAGTAGTAATAATGACGAATCGATGCCGATTGCTATGTGCTGTCCGGATTCACTAATGAGCTATTACTTTTACAAAATAATTGATTAGAAATAAGGTTGAGCGATGGAATCGAATTAAAAAATTTTGATTTTTCGACCTAATTGGGGATATCAGCTCTGCTTATTAGGCTGAGTTGGGTTGTTTCTTCCTCACTTTCCTTCGCCTTTTTGGTTATGTCGGCGCATGAGCCTGTCCGAATAAGCCTGCACATGCCAATGATGTGGGGCAACGACCAATCTGCACATGCACTTCGGAATCTATGGATCCAACTCAATATCAGATATTTCTAAAACTAATTTAGATTTAGATTGGCTAGAGTCAGATTTTTTTTAAGAGTGTGAAGTTGGGTCAATTTCGGGTCAAGGGTGAAAAACTTTGACTCGATTTGACTCGAGATAATAATATAATTTTCTTAAAATATTATTATTTTTTAAATGAGCTCTTATTTTATATCGAGCTGATTTGAGTTAGATAGGATAATCAAATTTATACTCTAAAAATCCAAATCGAGTTGGAATTAAGTGCAAGATATATATATTTTTTGAGTCGGATGGATGATATATAATTTTTTTAATCGGATTAAGTTTGGATGAAGGATACATATCTTTTAGATTGGGTCAGATTAACAAAAACCTTGACCCATCCCGATCCATTGCCATCCCACCCTTCGGTATTTTTGGACATTCATGGACTCGAGATGAATGGAGGAGTATCACTGAAAACAAAGTATCGTCGAATTTAACTTGATTCGAAAATTTTAAAATTTGACTCAATTTGAAAATTTGTGAACTTAGAATTATCAAGTTTGACTTGAACTCAAAATGAAAACATAAAATTCAACTCGAAAGCTCACTAGTTCAAAATTTTCAAGCTTCACTCAAAATAAAAAAATTGAAACTTAACTCGAATCTGAACCTTAAGTACATAAAAATATCATATTATCTTTTTTTAAAATAATAACACAAATATTATTATTATCAATAATTTAATTTAAAAAATCTAAAATTTTGATATATTATTTTTTTCGAGTATCTCACATACGTTTTGGCTCATCAAAAAATCGAGTCAAATTCAAGCTTGAGTCGATTCAAATGTTTACTAAAATTTAAACGAAGTAGCTAGTGATCTATCTCTTTTCATTTACATCCCTATAGAGGAGATTGATCGAATGATCATCCAGATAAAATATTTTTTAACTACACATTTGGCAATCAAGAATCCTAGTTTAGATTACAGATTTTATTTTATACTTTGTCCTTGTTTAAGTATCTGTTGAAAAAAATTAATATTCTTAAAAAATTAATTTAAAATGAGTTAATTTGTGATTAATTGCAGGAATTCAAGGCTTGTAAGTTAGAAAATGGATATAAAAGCTAATGAATTCCCAAAATTTAGACATTTCTTAGAACAAAAGCAAAGACAAAGATAGTCTCCAATGGAGACCTTTGCTTCAACATGATCATCAAACTGTCTGTGTACTCCTCCCCTCACTTCTTCTATTTTTCCTTCCCTTTTTAGCTCTGCAATTTCCTCTTTACCACTAAATCTGTACATGAGAATGAAACCGAGATTACCGTACTTCTCGTAATTTACAAAATCTTCGCAAACATCGAACGGACCTCCTTCACAGATGGAGGTGGCTCCAAATCCTTTTCCTGGAGTGCATTTCCGAGCAACTTCTGCATCTGTGACCCGAAGATTTCGTCCAATACCTGCAAGTTTAATGGCACCATAAATAACATGTAAAACTACTTGGGCTGTTGAACTTCAGGCAAAAATTAAATATTTCAAGTGGCTTGCACAAAATCAAGACGGCAAGTTCGTTCGAGGGACCGGAATTTATATTAGAATGTTCATTGTCAAAGAAAGGCTTACCAAAATAGCAATCCTTGGGCCCTTATACCAGGACATGTTCTCTCTCCTGTTTTCCATGAAGTGTAGAACATCCTGTGAGAAATAGAGAACAATGTTACACACATGTTGTATCAAAAAGTATAATACACGTGTTCATGATTTTAGGTTAGGGTATGTGAAGATATTTGCTAGTTGTACCTGTCCCATCCGGTCCCAAAAATTTCGACAGACGGTTATGAACACATGAGGTTCAAATACAGAATGGAGGTTCTCAATCATATTTATCAGGAGTTCCTTCAAAGGCTGCATTCGGTTTCTTAAATCTGACTCGACAACGGTTTCCTTTGAGTCCTGGATTATCTTCCTCAACTTTGTAGCAGTTTGAACTCTTGTCTGTGAAAAACAAAGAAATGAAGAACACGATAATCGACTAAACAAAATATCATAATCATGATGGGATACACTACGTGATGCTAACAATGCTTCCAAATATTCAAAAACATGGAATGTGTATCCTCTATACTGTTACCAAAAATGAAAAAAGAAAAAAGAAAAGAGAAGCTGGGAAGGAGAGAATGTAAACTAAAGCAAGGAAACAGTAATATATATAAGGCTTATATCACATATAAATACTTAAGGTATATCACCTTTTTCATCTTAAGTACCTCTAAATTATTTTTTGATCAAAATAAATATCTAAACTTATCTTTTTGGTCAAAATAGGTACCAAAAGTATTCAATTTTTTTCATCAAGTACCTAAAGTATTCTTTAATTAATGTCACATGTCAACTTTTTAAGAACTTAGATGGAAAAAATTGAATACTTTAGGTACTTATTTTGACCAAAAAGACAAGTTTAGGTACTTATTTTGACCAAATATACTTTAGGTACTTAGATGAAAAAAAAGTGTACTTTACGTACTTATTTATAATATAAGCCTATATATAAAGCCAGAGTTCACATGTCAAGTTACTAGTAAAGAAATGAGTCAAGAATCGCTGATAGAAGAAGTCTTGAAAGAATGATATTAACACCAACAATGGCATTCTGGGTTCTACGTACATTCTCTGCAAGTTTCTCCACAATTGCTTGAATATGGCTTCTGAAGTCGGCCCTCAGCATAACCGTTGTTTCACAGATACGCTCTCCTGGAATTGAATTTCCGTCAGGTGGGATGCAAGGGAACCACAACTTCAACTGGGATTCTATCTTGGGATGCAGTACAAAAAGCATCCTTCTCATGGAATTCAAAAGAACTCCCAACTGAAAAATAAATCATTTTTCCTTAAATGTAAGGGGATAAAAACAGAACAAATCAGCAAAATGCGTAAACAATAATTCACCTCATCAGGAACAACGTAGATGACAGGTGTTCCTTTGGTGAATTTCTGAACATATTTGCCAATTATCTTAGGAGCAAGGCCGTCCTTCAGTGGAGCTAGAACATCGGCAAACTGTCGATCTAAAGATTTAATAATAGCCTTTTCAACGTCTGCAATAGCCTTTTTACAGCCACAAGTCCCAAAGAAATTAACAGGTTCATTTAGAATAATAAAAAATAAATAAACATAAACAAGAACAATGCAATAAGGTTGCTCATACTACATATCTTGTTAAATATTAATAACAAGTCTTTAGGTTCCCTGTGGGATAGTGCCTGCTTTTGCATTAAAAAATTGATTTTTTTAAATAGCAAATCTTTAGGTAGCTTCAAAATAACTAACTGAACTGATGGATTTCCATAAACAAGTTGTAAATCTAATGCCCTATAATAGTAAGATGCATATCATGCATGAAGTTAACACACTGCCAAGCTGAAGCCCGGAGTTAAGGCTCAAGATCGAAGCTACCAAATTCCCCTGAAAACTGATGCCGATCATGCAACAAGGTTACAAGTTATTTTGTAGTTTCTGGTCCATTTAAGGAAATAATCCTGCCTCTCACTAGTCCATAATGTTTACAGAAGTAGCAACAAATAATATAAAGATAATATTGCATTCATCAAATCCAAGTAACAAGAACATAAAGTATCTGTACTTTTTGAGTTCATTTTGAATTCTATATGCCATCTCTATTCCCCGTAAATCTTAAAATATGTAAGAATACTTAATACAGGGAAGAGAAACATACATTTTCCAAGATGAGGGCGAATTCTGGCCAGCGAGAAAAGATAATTTCATATTCATTCAATGTTTGTGTTAGCTGGTCATACATATCATCAATGAAAGGAGTTGTTGATTGTCTTGTTTTAATATCAGAACATTTAACCTGCAATCAATTTCAAGAAAATTTTCAATCGAGGGAAATGGAAAACCTTGTCTTACAATCAATTTTAATCAGTCATTGAATTCATCAATAAAGTTGTATTTTTCATGCACACAGTTTTGAATCAATCTGACATCTCTATCATATCGACCATAATTAATGTCATATCACTATAAACAGTTGAAAGTTTTTTTATGTCAAATAAGGTGCTCAAATTGTTAGAATATTAATTGAAGAAATAGTTGTGCAAGTGTGTCAAACTAAATACTAATGTAAGTGGATCCCTCCACGCACACACACACACACACATATATATATATTCAACTTATCAGGGTAAAATATGATGATCCCAAATTATATATTCCAAGCAAGACTGACTTTGGTTTTCTTAGATGTCTGAGCAGGAAAAAGTAAAAGATGCACTAGAGTTCAAAAACTACTTAGGGATTTTCACATTAACTTGATAATGCAGTTACATAAGTCTGCAACATAAAATGTGTACCTTATCTATTTTGCATGAATCAAGTAAAGAATGCCGCTTCTCTTCAATCCAACATGTTATATAAGAGTGAAACAACTCTTTTGCCTCAATTCCCCCTTTTATAGGTCTGCAAAATGTTAAAAGATCAGAGAGGAATAGAAAACAACAGAAACTAATTTTCAAACCATAGAAACTAGATTAGCACAATCCATATATGAGCTAAAAGAAGTAAAACTTTTACGTAATATTCCAGGAAGACAGATCTCTTTGAAAGTCTGCTGTTGCAATAACCAGTTCTATTACAGGAGGAGAAGGGCCAGGAGGGGGGCATGCAACAAGAAATGCACGCAATCTACTGCAAAGGTCCACACTATATATGGGTGCTGAAAGGTTTGGAAGATCTATAAAACTGCAAAAGTAGAAGATAGAGCAGGCAACAGAAATCAACACAGAACAATTGAATCAGTTAAAAAGCAAAGCCACAAAACATATAAGTAGAGGGGACAAACCAAAATACAAAGCAATTAAGAGCTCTCAATCATCTACTTTTAAACCCTAAATATATTTCAATCTTTCTCCTAGAACTGATTTGCATAATCCACAGTGCTCTTAATACTCTGTCTCTCCCCCCCCCTTTTTTTCTTCCTTCTCAAACTAGTGTTATGATACTTTTAAGGCAAATTGGCTAACCAGGGAACTCTAGGTGCCACGTTACTGTGAATTTTCAAAGTGAACATGGATATGGAGTCGTTACCTTCCAAGAATAAAACTTAAAACACCCTTGTTAGACTCATCCAGCTCAAAAGTTTGAGCATGTAACTTTATGTGCAGATAAATTACTACATATAGAAACGCTCTCAGTCATAATAGAACAACAAGAGGGAGGGGAAAATAAAAGAACAATTGTTTCAGAACTGCAATACATTATTTTGCATGCTGCAATCTCCTGAAATAAGAGAAAATCACCTAGGAAGAATATTCTGCTTGTGGATCTCTATATCAGTGAAAATTTCTTTCTTGATACCCAAAATTAAAGTTTTCATCTTCTGATAAGACATTGAAAGAGTTGTGGGGTCCGTCAATGCTCCGTCATTATTGCTCAAAAGGAACTCATCTATTTCAGTCTGGTGTCTTCTTGATCTCTTTTTCGCAGCAGCCTGCAAGGTTATTGCAAATTCATAGAGGGAACAAAAAGGAAAGGAATATACAAAACCGTGACTACGAAGAAATAAGTCACTTATACCTGAAAATATCCACAGAACTTCTGTTGTATCTCAGGAGTTAATATATCATGCAATAGGCTATAGAGCTTGACAGCGGGGACCAGGGCAGGAGCTGGTGCTCCAGTGGGAGCCTTAAAAACACTCATCATCCCTAATGGCAATGATTCATCCAATGACTTGTAATTCTCAAAGATCTCAATTAAAATCTGCTGTACCTGATCCTCAACTTCCCCAAGGATGCGGTTCTGATTGACGTTAAAGCGTTAAATTATTACGAGGAAAGAGTTTGCAAGAATTTGTACATTTTCTTAAACACTTGTACATACAAATGAATTTATGTAAGCCTGTGTACTTTTAACAACTAACTTGTATAAGATTTAAGGATGAAAACTAAAATAAAAGAAAGATGCATGAAAATCGCAATGGCAAAGTGGCACATCTTAACTAAATCAAAATGAAGATTGCAATTCAAGAAACGCTTTGTCAGTAACTTATACGTGTGAATCAGAAGATCCAAACTTACAAGAATTGGAAAGGTGCTTCAAAAAGATGAATTAAACTTAAGAAACATGCTTGACAATTCCATTTCTGAGTTGATACAATCTTTATTAGAACTACTAAGAAGCTAATTGCCAGTCATTTTTTGATATATCATATGCATGCATGACACTGGAAACGAAAAAAGAGAACTTAAATTATAAAATAATTTGGCTTGAATAGCAGGCATACCTCTTGGTGACTTAATTTGTGCTTGTTATAGCCCTTCACGGGAGATAGTAAATCATGTATTACTGTAAGACAGTCTTCAGTTGGTGTAGCCACATCCATAACATAAGAAAGGTATCTACGACCAAAAGGAAAATCAAACATAAGAAAGATATTTAAAACTCCTAATGATGAAAACATCAACTACCATTCCATTGCATAACCATACCTTAGCTTGGTATATGCATCAGATATTCCATAGTATGACGCAAATTCATTCACCAACCACTTCCAAGGGCCATGTAGCAATAAATTTCTTTGCTGAAAGAGCTGATTTTTCATTGCAACTTCCAACAACAAATCATATGCCACAGTTTCCGCAACAGAACCACACTGAGAGGCCAATAAAATGTTAGCCTTAACATCACTTTCTAGTATAGTTGCAATTTCTGTTGGCATGCTGTAATCAAATGGTAAAATGGTAGCTACTGGTAAAGGAAAATGAAATAAGAAAACAGAACCCTTAAGTGGAGTCATTTTAATTTTTTATGGACAATTACATTTCGCATGTACCTTTAGATTATTCTCCTCTCGACTGGTTGAATAGTGTATATACAGTTGAACTCTGCCAACAAGCTCATGTTCTGGCTCACGATATAACGGCCACCATCGAACCTTGTCACCCTGCATAACCAATGTGGTAAACTTTCAGCAAAATCATCTGCCCTTTTACCTGAAGAGTCAAGGGTAGGTTTATTGACAAATCCTTACAGGGTCATCAGCAAGAGAGACCACTTGTGCTAGCGCATGGCCACAATACTGCCCCTTGGAGTCGTGAACTTTGACAATCAAATCATCACGAAGCCCTTCAGGTAAGCTGTGCAGCAAAATATCAGGAAAGAAATTTTCCATAGGGTATGGAGAAAGGATAAAAAATATAAGATAGCAAGCATTTAAGAGAAGTGAAGCAAAAGAATGGATGGAGGAAAAGATGCAATAAGGGGTTAGAGAAGCTACATACAACACATGAGTTTCGCTGGATCCTGGTTGCATTTTGATCACATCATCCTCAGATGAACTTTTCAACTTCACCAAGCAACAATACGTTTCTGAGAATTACAATCATCACCTGATGTTAGATAGTGCAGAATGGTAATATCATCCTATTCTCTGAGAGCCTAATCATCATCATCAACAACAATAAATGCCTAAGCCCTTTTCCATTATTTCTGATTGGCGGTGAAATATATTGCACAAATGGTACTCTATATTTAGGATCGTATCCTTGCTATGGACATTTATGCCAAGGTGTAATTTATTGACGTCTATTCCTAGAGCCAAGGTGCTTTCATTAAACCAAAAATGAAGAAATTTCTCTTTGGCCTTATTATTCTTAACCAGCTAGAGTGCAAAATACAAACTTAGCCTGGTAACAAGTAGTCCAAGAAAGTGCACACCTATTTGGAAAAAATAAGAGTGCTGCTGACTATAATTTTAATTATCGTATAATTAAGAAACAGTTCCATTTTGCATCCTCATCAAAACTAAATGGAGGAAAATATGTAGTCGCCTAAATGTTCGGAGTGAAAGATTACAACTGTTACAAGTGAAGCATATTGCTCCTTGTAACTCACATGTCTCGTAAAGGTTTCCTTCATAGCTGTTATTGATATACCTAAGCAGCATTTCCCCTTGTCAAGCCATTTCTTACAAATTAACTAGTTGCTCCTTGATAGTGCCAAAGATTCACATAATTGGTTCCAAGTACATCAAAAATTGTTTAGATCATTAAAAGAGACGTGTGACATGTCTTCATAGATCAAAACAGTATTTATTGTTTTAATGGAGCGACTCTAATGACAGACCAATCTAATTTTAGGTGGCAAGGAGAGAATCAGAACACACACGGAGAAACATCATGTCCTAGTAAAGCATGTTGAAACCAATGGACAAAGCCACAAAGGATACATGCAAGAGTAATAGTACCCTATCTACAAAATTTTGAACCATGTTATAGCATTTGAATCATAACAGCAGACTTCTAAATTTTCATATAACTAAAAGGGGTTTAAATACCTGGAATTACTTCATATGATGTTGAATTACTGTGCAAAGTAGTCACTCCAGTTTTCAAGAGCTTGGATACCTCTTTTATATACTGGCTGCTTGCCTGCAGATAAGCTAGGCTTTGCTTTGAAAGAGAACCGTTCGCAGGAGTATTGGGAGTTACTCGAACTTTCCGAAGAGCTTCCCATCCAGAATACAACATTGAGTTTACTTTGCAGAAACGGTGATGAAGGGATTCCATCTTCATTATAGACAGATTGCAGCCGGGAGGAGGGTCTAAACCCATTTTGACTCTACGCACTGTCCAACAGAAAGAAGGTATATGTGTAGGCTTAAACATGAAAAATTCTGATTTGGTGAATGTCTTTTTCTGGAAACATGAGAGTACCTTGCACTTTCATTTTGCCAATGAACCTCTTTGATTTAGGAGCAGCTGCCTCACTTACTAACTCAGAAGACTGTTTTGCCAATAACTCTTCTTCGGGTTGCAGTAGTACATTCTGCAAACTATAAAATAAAATGTGACTCAGAGATACGTAATTCAAAGCATGAAGAAAAGTACTAAATTTCACAAGGAGCAGTAACAAGCCCAACATAATTCGACAATAAGAAAGCATCATGTAAATGGACTGCATATCCAAATATAGAAAAGAAATCTTGAATCCCACATGCACAGATGCACAGAGGTAGGCATGCATGGACAAAGCAATCATTGCAAGCAAAAGCCAGGAACACTGAGCGTTTCTTCTAAGTGATCTTGTCAAGATGCAATAAATCTGGCTGCAATTATTTAGTATTCTCTAAAATGGTTCTTTACTAACTGAAATTACAATGCAAACATAGCAACAACTTCTACATAAGACACCAGCAACCATGACTTATGATCTGCTGGTTAAGTTGGACCAGAAACATTTTTAATGAACCTATCCGATAGATATGAGCGACAACTAACACTATTGCTTTGTTTTCCAGTGAACAGTCATGGAAGGCAAGGAACTAACCAAAGCAACCTTATGACATGGTCAGTTTGCCCAAGGTTCCACTTCCATAGATCCTTATTTCTGCCCATATTGCTAAACATGGGTAATATTTCATACTTTTATCAGCATATCAAGTTACATGGATTCCAAGATTAGAATAGTTCCATTCAATTAATCTTAAGTTGGATTTCAGAGTTAAACTGGTATTCTGATCACACATTGGCCTTACACAGGCAATGTATAACTGCAAAAACATGATACTAGAGAAACAAAAAGGGAATATTTGCACTCACCCAAATGCTTTTCGCAACTCTGAACATTCTTGATTCAAAAAGTAGGGAGCCGCTTCCGTGCAGCCTTTGGCCCATGAATTTAAGCATAAACGAACACAAGCATCATAAGACAGAACTGCAACCCATGGACCAAGCCCACTGAAATATTTTGATCAACAAAGTGTGCTGCCTCAGACATTATGAAGGTAAAATGTCTAAATCAATAGAAACCCATGCTTAGTTAGTTAGTTTAGAAATTAGCTAACCTTGCATGGAATATAGGGCGACGTATGGGCAAATTATTAGTAGATTCATTGGTTCCCTCATGTTCCTCGGCCCTGTAATACATTATAGTTCCGTCAAAGTGCATTGATGGCAATTTATTAAAAACATCAAGGAAACTAAGCTCAGAGATTCAGACATACAAACCTGACTGATCGGTCAAGGATCTCATCCCTGTTGTTATCCAGAAGAATGGTATCACTGTGAGAAGGTTCCATCTTCTGCATTCTTCCAGTATGAAAAACCTACATGCACATAAATAGTTTTAGTATGACACATGGCATAATGTTTTTTATATTAACAGCTAATTTAAGTTTGATCATCAAAGTGGTCTCACATTTCAAAACTTATAAATTCCAGGTTGCATATGCAAGTTAAAGATTACCTCCTAGTGAAGTCATTTAGACATCTCCAGTCCCAAAACAAGTTAAACAATTAGAAAATTCAAATAGGTAACGTTTTAGGATGTGAAACCCCAGCTAGTCTACCCATTGACAACGGTGATATCACTCGGTGGACTTTGCACATACAGAAAGCTACTATCCTAAATTTACATAAGGATGACCAAAATAGCAGGAAAAAGAAGAATTAAGGAGTGCCTGGTAATTTTCTACTTTAACGCTTCAGGGGCACAATTTAAGCGTCTTAATAACAAACTACCAGATAAAATAACACTAAAGGAGAAACTGCACGAGTAAAAAGCACATTCTTAGTGAAATAAGGACATCCTAAAACCTAGTTATAACAGAATGCTTGAATAGTTCTGGCATCACAAGGCTCTGAAGTCTGAACCACATAAACTAAAAAAGCTTTTGCATCCAGAAAGTTCATTGCAATGCTTACCCTAGAAGTAACTGTAGAAGAATAACTATCTGACTTATATGATTCTATATGAGAAGAAAAACCATTGTTGCTTCTATGCTGCATAAACGAAACTTCAGTACTACAGGCAGAATCCAAAAATTGCTCTTTTCCGGTCTCCGGATTCACACCACAAACCTGTGCTGGTCTCTGAGCACCATTTGCTAGTTTTAGCTGAGTTCCACTATGAGCACGAGCCTCTGATTTCTGCATTGAAGCAGCATGTTTAGCAGTCACTCCATTTGGCACCTTATCATCTTGCGGAGATGAAATGAATGAATATTGCCCGTCACAGCCATGCTCATCGGAATCAGATGAAATGTCCATGTCTGATTCTGAACCATAATCATTGCCACTAACAGGTATTCTCTGAGACACTTGAACTACATTAGAAGATAAATGTCCATTAATAAATTTCGATGAAGGAGGCAATCCACCATTTCTTAAACTGTGAATGGGTTCAAGTGTTTGTCTTGCTGCCATCATCACGCCGAAAAAACCTCCGTTCTTGGCGGCACCGCCCTAATACAAGTTCAAAACATTAAGATCAGACTCACTCCGCCAGCACCTCAGACTACACTACAAATTAAAACTTCAGTAAACACAAACATCACAAATAAAAAGTAATACCTAAAGAAATGCATGAAGACATGAATTTAATATGAATAACCAATCGAAATGACCCACCTGGCGAACCCATCTTAACCCATCCTTGTCAAGAGCTTGGGTGAACATTGTACACTTTCTTCTACTTGACCAAAAAAAAAACCCAACCCCTGAAAGAATTTAACACCCAAATCAAAATTGAAGAACTAATAAGCGAAGATCCACAAGCAAAAACCAACAAGTTGCATTTTTTTCCATTCTAAACAGTCAGTGTGACTAATAAAAGTCCACTACTTTACCAAAAATATAAAAACTATTACAGAAACTGAATCATTAAAATGATCGATTGATGTGTTAGTACATTGAGAAGAACATCTAGGAAAAAAGATGGGAAAGTATTAAGTTTCCAGCACCGACATTCTTTTATTCTATCATATTTACCAGACACAGAATATAAAGACCATGGGAATTCAGTTCAATTTCACATGCCAAGCACTGATCAAAGTAGTAACAAACAAAACAAATTACTTTAATCACATTTGCTTTTATGATCAAAACATTAAAACTCAATAGGGAAAAAAACTCTACCTTGAGGGAGAAGAGACGGAGAAATACTCACCCAAAGTGGAGAGAGAGAGTGACGGTGAAAGAGAGAAGCAAAATGTGGGTTTTGTTTGGGTTTCAACTCAATAATTTTTTTAAGAGAAAAATAAATAAATTTTCTTTTATTAAGCATATTTTTTTAATTTCTAAAAAATAGAAAGAAAAATTATTTTCAGAACTAAATGTTTCTAAAATTGAGGAAAACTTATACAAGTGAAGTAACGGAGCGTCGTGAAGTTAACGTGAAAATGACGTGGCAAGGGAATGCGCGCCTCCTTTTTAACGGCTGGATTTGTTTATTAGTAGGAATGTTTCCCTTAAGGAGTGTGGTCTGTCCCGTTAGGTTCGAATTTTTGTATTGCTGACTTCAGATTATTTTAAAAGTTTTAAAATAGAGTTCGATTCGATTAAAATTTTTAACAGTTTAAATTTTTTAATTCGTTTTAAATTCAAAATTATTAATTGAAGCTCAAAAAAGTTTAAAATTAAAAAAGAATAAATTTAATTCGATTAAAGCTCAAATTTAAACTCGAATCTAAATCTTAAATACTTGAAAAAGTTATAGTGCATATTAAAAAACAACACATAAGTATTATTTTTAAAAAAATAAAATTTTAATATATTATTTTTTCGAGTTACTCACAAAATTTTTGAGTCGAATATTAAACATCTTAATTCGGTTTGTTGAAAATTTGATTTCAAGTTCGAATTCAATTTAAATTCATTTGAATCAATTATTTTATTAAACTTTGATCAAATTTAACTCAAATAATTTATATAGTCTAATTTACAATTGTAGGTGCACACACAACAAGGGGTACCTTGGGTTAGTTTAGCAGGGAGGGACCCACACGGTTGCTTTCAGTCCAAACTGGGAATGTGCTGTAATTCCCCGCGCTTAATAAGACTTAATCCCCAAGGTTTACACAAAATTATTATAGTATTTTTAAGGGTAAACTACACATTTAGTACTTAAATGATTGATTTTAGTTCATTTTAATACTTAAATTTCAATTTTTCAAAACTATACTTAAAGTTTAGTTTTTATTTTATTACTCCTCCATTAAAAACTTAACGTGTTTAGTACTTAAACTATCAGTTTTGATTTGTTTTAATACCTAAACTTTTACTTTTTTTCAAAACATAACTTTAAATTTTGAACGGATCCTAAAATAAAACAAAATCTAAAATTTTTAACGACGGATACTAAAATGAAACAAAAACTAAATTTTAAGTATAATTTGAAAAAATTGAAAGTCTAAATACTAAAACACACCAAAACTAACAGTTTATATACTAAATGTGTAATTTACCCTATTTTATAATAGGAATGTGCAACTTTTTAACGAATAATAATCGACTACTTCACCATATTTATTTTAGATCTGATTATCACTATAAACAAAATCTCCTTTTCACACATGGCATGTTACATTGAGTTTAAAATGGGGTTTTCACCCGAATATACCTTATTTAAAAATAATTTCCTATTCTAATGCACATTTTAGATTATTTTCTAAATTAGTCCTATTTTATGTCATGTAGGACAAAGACTCGATATGTCGAAAGCTCTCCTGTAAGACACACCCTGTAGGACACGCCTTCTTCCTATACGACGACAATATAGGCACATGTTGGGTTAAATTGAAAGAAAAAGAAAATAAGGTAAAAAATATGGGGGAAATATGCGATCCAAAAAAAATTAATGTGCGCAATACGTCTTGAAGATACGTAATTATACGAGTCAGGAGACGGCGGTGACACCTGTACTAACCTTATGTTCACTCACTCAATATATATGTTCAAAAGACTATATTTAAACACTTGATAACTCATATATCTAATTGTTTTTAAGACTAATATATACTTATAATCATAATTTAAATTAACATACCTAATAATTAAATTTATTTAATATTATAATATGTATATATAACCCTAAAACTAATATGCTTCCCTTCAACATGCTTATTGGTGAGATAGGAAATTTCATCTCAATCAAACATGGGATCAAATTTAAATAGATTTGAATTGTACAAATAAAATACTTTAGGGACTTAACCTTATTTAGAGAGAGGAACAATAAATAATTAATTTCAACTTAGTTCATAAGATTGGAAGTGACCCATAGGATTGCTGATGGAAACAAGTTTATCACGTTGATGGTTTTGCCTCTTCTAATTTGGACGAAGATATGTGATCGATGAGATAACGATTGTTGGCCGATGTTTTTCCGTGAGAGATATGAAGGTATAATGAGACTACTCGTAGGTTAACATATTCAATATATCTTAGATTTCATTGTAGTAGATCACAGGAGTGTGTTAGAGGTCATGTATATAGACTGCAATAAGCTTGGAGGCTATGATGCTCCCCGTTTTAGAGGATATAGATTTTTTGAAAGTTCCAGTAAATGGAGGTATCTATCCGAAAATATCGACCGACGAAGATAAGATAATTTTTTTAAAGTCACTCAATCTATCTCTCATTACTTTTAGCTTACTTTTAAACCCTATAAACTAATGTCAACTCAAAAACTTTAAAATAAGAATAAACTGAATTTAATTTTGAGAGGATATCTTAATAAACGCTATTAATTGAGTTGGATAGTATAAAACAAAACAAACCTGATGAAATCATCTAGATAAATGTGAATAACTAACCACCCTATATAATCAAACTATAAATCGATACTACAATTAGTCTCACCAACATTAAATTATGTATTTGTATCGCTTTAATTGAAGAATCAAATTGATTATACTTATTGAAATATGGTTATATCATGTTTGATTGTTAATTACCTCATTGAATTTCCTCAAAAGTCACTAGATTGCTATTTGTTGTATGTGTAGCTTATATATGTGTGTATGCCCATGCCATTATACGTGGTCGGTAAGATTGATGATGGTAGAATGGTAAGCATCAGTTTAGCTTTTTCATGTATTGTCTAGTTGCTAAGTTTGGTGAATGTAGTTCCTGTTGTGTTGATGTATAAATGGGTTATGAAACTAAGCATGTGATGTTGATTGAACAATTTTTTATCAACCATTTAATAATAAACGGTTATTCACCTATACTGAAATTATTGCTGCTCGAATCCGAGACCTCTAAGAATAACAACTATTCTCTTAACCATCGAGTAATTTGGTTCGTGCAACTATTGATGTGAATTTAAAGGATGCTTGCCTTGGTGTGTTTATTCATGCAAGGGCCCTCCATGTTCATTTGATGGTACAGTGACATCTAAGTTATTTAACATGTTAAATTTTGAATTGATGTGTATTGGTTTGTAAATTGATCTATAAGACCCGCCCTTATATACATGAAATTTACTCAAATAGTTTTTCATAGAGTGATTACATAGTACTTATTATGAATTTTTTTAATTCACTGACAACAGATACCCTAAAGATAAAATTGTTCGAATCTAGATCAAAACAACATTCCTCTTTACCAGTAAGATCACTCAATGAGTTCAAACTTACGTGAATAGTTTATAGTACACAGAGACATGTTTTGGTACATATTATACTTATTAACTTGCTCCTACCCTCGATAAACGATAGTAAGTTAACAAGTTCTAGCAAGTAAAATTTACAACCGAGTTGTGCTTGAATAGAGAACTCTACAATTTACCCCATAATTCCATAGAATTATATCGAAGAAACTTCCCAAGGATCGTGAAAATTATCAAATGGTTCCAAGAAGCAGAGAAAATATAATTTTTTTTATGACAAAACATTGAAGGTAATGTCAGATGGAAACATTATTCAGACAGATTGTAAACTATAGAGTTGCAAAATTTCCTGTAGGCATTGAACAGCACCCTGGTAGTCTAAGAAGCCCATGAACCAAAATTCATGGGCATCAACAGTGGAAACTTGGATGTACTTTTCGGAAGGATTGACCTTGCTTGTTGATGGATTAACTGCTTTTAGTTGGTGTAATGGGATAAGTACCTGTTTTAGCGCACACAAAAATATAGAATCATAACTTGGTAAGCCATGCTTAAAAAATGGAATCGGAGGTTAAATAAATTATAACTTATATAATTAGGGATAATTATAATAACACCTCCCTCTAGATTATTTTTTCAATTAAATCATTGGTTTGTAATATATTGATTAACTAAATCCAGATTGGATACTAAAAAGGCCAATTATGGGGCAGCCCTCCCAACCCAATATTGCCACTTACAATATCAGAATTTGAACCTTGAACTTATTTATAGGATCTAATGCCTCATCCCATTAGATCATCTGATTCTTGGTCTTTTTGATTATTTTCTAAATGCAAGCATGTAAGGCTAAAGAAAGGTACCTTATAATAACTCCATTCAGTCAGAGTACCATTTTTATAGGAAAGAGGGCTGTCACTGCAATATGCAAGCTTTTCTGTAGATACGTATAAAACTCCCATGACAGGACCAGCTGATGTGGATAAGTAACATGCAAAAGAATCCTGAAGTTTCTCTTCGGGATCTGTTTCAAAAGTTTGTCTAAAGATCTTCTCATAGCCACCTTCTGCTAAAACCTTTGTTCCCTGAGCAATTCTTCCCATGGCTGCCTCAGCAAAACTCGGGCTTGTTTTTACTGATCTAGGAAATAAGGGAAACATTAT